ATATTTTTTTTTTTTTTTTAAAGAAGGGTAATTCCACTTTGCCCATGCAAGATGGGCAAACATGCCAGCTCTGTTCTTCAGCCAAATAAATCATTATCAGCTGTGCTGACATCAAGCAGCTCCCCTACGTGCAGATCATGCACTGTTTAGTCTGCCAAGTTTACAGCTGCTTTGCACCTGCAGACTTGTGCTGCAGCATAGCTGGGCATCCAGACCCTTCTATGTATGTTTGTTGAATTTTCACTAGTAAAAAAAGGCTTTTTTTTCTTCTTCTTTTTCATGTGGCTACAGTAAGGGTGGTGAGAACTTAAGAACTATATGATCATGAAATCTACCTATCAACCCCCAATTAACATTCATTAGCAAAATTACTGATGAATTCCACATTGACTAGCCAAGACCCATGTAGTATATGCTGGCATTCAGTTAAGTCTTTGCAGTCTCCCTCTTGATACTTATTGAAATGGCACTTGCCTGAACATTGCAATCAGGAGATTCATAAGGAGAACATTCGTGACTAGTAGGAAAATAACCAATAGAAGTATGACAAGCCAGTTTGCATAACTGTTAGGACATGATGCTGAATTCTCCTGCAGACTCTGCAGTGGATTAAATGTGCAATTCCTAGGATACATTCGTGATGCTGCAAAGGAAGACAGGAAAATAAAACAATAGTTTTGACATATCCTGCCACCCCATGTATTTATTAGAGTTGTGACAACAACTTTGTATTTTGATGAACAAAAACTTGTACTTTCAACACAGAATCACAAGAATTAGAAATTGTTCCCGGGGGTTGAGGTACTGCGTTTCATAGCTAAGTAAAATGCAAAGAAAAGCTGAATTAATATCTCTAAACCTGTTATCTCATAATAAGAACTAGTGACATGGATGGATGCAAATATTTAATACCCTTTCTATTAAGATACAAATTGAGGACAATGATGGTACTGATTACTAAAATGAGATTTAATCTTGGCTGTATATAGACAGCAGCATAATTTTATTCTGAATATTTTACAATTATTAGAATTCAAGACCAATAGTGTGGTAATATGCAACTTTCATACTGACCTTGCTTATGATTAGCAGCAGGATTTTAAGTGCAAGACTCTCTTAACACCAATAGGACAGCTCTCTTGACTACTTGAACTACCCAGCTAATTCTTGCAGTTGAAAGATCATTCATGTGAACTAATATCCAATATGTCTTTAGTTTTATGAAAATGCACATATTCGGGTTGTACACATGAAGAGATATTGCTTTAGTGTGCAAGAGGTTTGCAACTTTAGCAGGACAATGCAGACCTCCAGAACTTGGAGGAGATTTTGACATACCTGGATGGGACTCCTCACTCCAAGTTTAAACAACTACTTTGTACATCTGAGCTAGCAGTTGAGATTAATAAGAATAGTGACACTGAGTCAGACTAGAGGTCCAGCTAGCCCTGTATCCGGTCTCCTCCATCTATCGCCACAGCACGTTCATAGAGCCATGCATGTATAAGAACAGGAAAAGCACACAGTGACATTTCCCTGGGACGTTCTTCCAGGTCCAGTAATTTATGGGTAAAGGACTTGCCTAGGCAGCAGTGGTATATTTAATAACCTTGCGGGGAAATGGAAAGGGGTGTTCCTCCATGAATTCATCCAACTGATTTCTGAGTCCATGTAAATTTTTAGCATTCAAAGCATCATATAGAAATTAACTGGCCACCACTTAATTATATGTGTGAAAAATTATCCCCTTTTGTTTCATTTGAAATCTTTTACTACTTTAACAGTTGAAAAAATGAAAATGAAAATTGTTCTCCGTTTGCTTTACTCATGTCATTCATCTCAATCTTTTTTTTCTGACCTTAAGAAGTTTATTTAATTTCTTTGTTCCTAGAAGTTCGGTCATGTCATGGATTAAATCCACATATTTACAGAGTGGCATAAAAATATTTAATTTTTGGTTCTCCTAATGATTCCTCTGCTTTTCCCACCACTGAGTGGTTATATCTGTTATAACCCCAAGATCTTATTCTTTAGTGTGAGCAGTTATCTCAAAGCTCACCACAACTGCGAATGCTTTCACCAATTGTATTACTTTATATTTGTCTAGACTGAATTCTCTTTGATGTTTTATCACTCATGAGGGTCTTCTGCAATGCTTAGATGTCAGCTTTAGTCTTCACTACTCAGTAATGTAGTTTCATCCGCAAACGTTGTCACCTTTGTTACTCATCTCTCTTCCCGTTCTGTTCACAGAGATGCTGAAGAGAACATGCCCCAGAGGAGACCCTGGCTAACTGGCTCCCTTCTGGAAGTTGTCCATGCAATTCAATTTTTTTCCTATCTTTTAGCCAGGAGAAGCCAGGAAAGCCAGGAAGCTTTCCTTATTTATCCAGGTGAGGATTCCCTTTGGAGTCTCAAGAGACAGAAATAGACATGTCTAAAGAATGCTGCTTCTGACCTATTTCCAAATGAGATGAATCCTATTCCAGAAATATTTATTCCTTTCCAATTACTTCAGTGGGAATCACGGCAATTGGTTATGCTATATACACTTACACTGTAAGCATTTAAAGTTAAGTGAGATGAATCCCATCCCTGCTCTCTTGCTTCATTCAGACTTCTTTAGTTTTTCTAAGGCATATGCTTTTTCTTATTAAGCAGAGTGAAGATGAAAGAACACTTTCTCATTTGCTTCTGTCTATGGGATTTTCTGGTTCCATCTATGTTACTTCAAGTTTAAACCCCGCTTCAGTATTGTCACTGATATTTAGCATAGTTACTGTGGTTAGATCCTGTGGCATTATATCAGATATATCAATATATCAATTATATCATTCTATTCTTTGGGAAATGGCCTATTCTGTATTTTACCAGCGTCTCTATCAGAAATGTCACCTCTAAATCTTTGTGGCTAAGTATCTCCATGACTTATGATTATTTTTATTTTGTTTGGTTTGAAATGTGTCACATATGCAATTACTAGCTTTATTTAATTTGGACAGCTTTACTTCCAAAGTAAACACTCCAGAGAAATATTTATTCTAAAATATGAGTGTTTGCTTATGCACAGAGCTGTACTGCTTTAACACTGTCATGTTAAACTACTGCCAAAATGTTTGTAGGTCCCATTATTTCAGTTTACCCAAAGCTTATTTAGGTCTAGGTTAAGTTGACCAGAAATGGATTCAACTGAAACAAAGTATGCCAGCCTTTAAAGCTGCAAATCATTGTTTGACTGTTTCTTTTCACAGTTTGCCTAAACAGGGCCAGCCCTGATGCTCTAGTGTAATTCCATACTGTACGTTATCTCTCAGTGCAAAAAAAAAAAAAAAATTGTCACATCATTGTAATGTGAAAGCTTTGGCCTGCAGGAAAAAGTTTTTAAAAAAAAAAAAAAAAAAAGACAATAGTGGGAAGGAATTCCATGTCTTGATTGGAAGGCTGTATTCTAAAATGGCCAGGTTAGGGGTGAAAAGAAAATGTTCTCACTGTCTATTTCATCCAGGGGAATCTGGCCAAATATCTGAAGGTAGGGACGATAAAGCACCCTTCTGAATATCCATTCCACTCGGCCGTCATCAGGATGAAGCAGAGCTTGAGTTGTCACACCATAGGCAATGAGCCACACACTCAAGAAAAACAGAAAGAAGAAAACATCCTTCATCTAAAAGAGAGGCAAGAGGGGGAAAAAAGGGAAGAGGTGACTGTAATACAGTAGGCAAAGGATAGCAGTCTTTCCAAATGAAAACTGTTCTGATCATTCTGTTTCTTTACAAGCTTATTTAGAATCCAATATGTTGCGCAGGATACAATTCCGTGCACAAAATTTCTTGACTTTGCTGCTATCATATAATTCTCATTCCGTAAGCAGCATTTTTCTTTGCTAGATCATTTAGATAAAGGCATGTTTTAAATTAAAACCTGTAAATGCTTTTCGGTCAGGTAGCATTTAAAAATGAAAATCATTTAACCTTTTAGTGATGAATGAATCTCATGAACCAATGAATCTTATTCTACCTTTTAAATGCAGGTTTTCTATGAGATCTCCCAGGACCACTGACTGCTTTCCTCTGAATTATGAGAGTTCTGCTACAATGGCGAATCCTAGATGACACTGCTCGTTCATGAAATCTGATCCCCTGTTAGAGCAGACATTGAAGACTGCAAGGATAAGGTAGCTTCTCTCTTAGGTTTCCAAGCCAAATAATGCATTTGGGGGATTGTTTTCAGGACTTCCTGCTTTTAAATGTTGTGTTTATCTACAGAAACAGAAGTAATTGAATCCTAAAACACTTACTCAAAAAAAAAAAAATCAAATATAGATTTCAAGTGCAGTAATTTTTCCCCAGTGGAAGAGGAACAATTCATCATCTTCCCATCTAATTTGGCAGAGTTCATTACTGACTGTAGATCAGATTAATTAGATTATGACTGTGCAGCTATCCAATGCATAGGTATTTCAGTCCTGCAGGAGGTTACTTGAAGTTCCATTTGGTAACATGGCATCTAAGCCAGGAGAAAGGAAACAATGGGTGCATCTCTGACTTCCACCCATTTATTTTGTTTTCCAGATGATTTCAAATTTGGCAGTGTTGCAGGTCTGTAGTAGGGTCATAGTTAAGAGAGAGCAGTGGCAAGTCTGGAAATACTTCTTTCCAGTCTGTAGCCTCTCTGCAAGCTCTTTTAACTGGTATCATCCCATTTTAGCAGCTACCAAAGTTGTTTCAGCAATTCTTTAGCAAGGTTAAAAAGGAGAAAGGCAGTAAGAGCCAATTTTGACTTGCTTCTCAATTCAAGTGAAATGATCTCGCTTGAACCCACACGATGAAGCTTTCAAGGAAATATCATTTGCTGAAGTAAATTTCACTGTTGTTCTTTCCTTTGATGTAAGGTTCAATCTTGTACCACCAGAGCCACAGCATTGAGTTGGCTTGGATGGGGAGAAGATGAAAGGTCCCATTTTATCATTTTGTCTAGACTGCTTTTTTTGTCCTTATTTGCATCTTAATCTCTCTGTTGTCTCATATGACTTCTGATGCTAACATAGTAGTCACATAACCATATTTGTTCAGGGTCCTGGTTTAGTTTGGTACAGAGCCAGGAGGAGTTAGGAACTGCAGATCTGACTTGTTCTCTTACAGTAAAAGTCTGCTACTACTGTATGTTAGATAATGAACAAGAACAAATGTTTATTTGCCATTTTGCTTTTGCTACTCCAAGCAAATGTCATGTCAGAGTTCAAGTTATAGCATTTGTAGACAGAACCAAATAGCTTAGTAGTTGTGTTTATTCAATGTATAGGCTTGTTTAGACTGTAGGGCTTTTACTGAGCTCTGCTGTGAGTCATAACTCAAAGATTTGTAGATTCCATGATAGCATTTGCAATTAGATGAACTCCTATTAATCAGTTATCATGAGCTAATTGGCCTAGAGGATTAACACACCCAAATAAAAAGCTACTTGAACGTACCGACACATACCCGAGCCTAACAACCGTAGTTCTAATGTCTCATTTTCTTCAGGAGCGTGGTAATAAATAAAAATCTTTTATCAACATCTTCCAACACATGTTGTTCACAAAGCACTGATATGTTTTCATGATAACTTAGAGTTACAAAATACAAGTGAGAACAACTCCTGTAGGCAACTTATAACTATCCTAGGCACTGAACCAGATTTTTTTTTCATGCCTCTTGCAAATAATGTAATCTGTTTCCCCCAGTGGAATAGTGTGTGGGGGGGGGGGTAAATGCCTTGTCCTTCAGTAAATGACTTGTCATCTGTCTGAACTGTGTCCAGCTGCACACAGCTTCTGAAGAAGGAGGAATAGCAGTGCATAAGGCAAAGCTCCTGTAGCCCTGATTTGCCAGATCTGGGGGTTAATGATTATTTAAGGTTTAAGGAATAGTAAATCTGGCTCAAGTTATTACACTGCAGAGCTCTTTGGCAAGATTTATATTGAGCGTATCATACCTATTGCTAACGATAAAAAGGCAGTATATGCAAAATTTCAAACTTAAAAATATAAAAATAAAAAAAGATTATAAACTGATTTCCTTTGTAAGGGCAAAGAAGAGATTTCCTGCTCTCTGTTTTTTAGAAGCACCAGTATTTGTCTTAGAGGGACTGCACACTTACCATCCTTTCCACAATTATGATCTTTGGTCCAAGTTGTTTGTGAATGGCAAAAATATGTATAAGTCTAAGTGTAAACACCATGAAATCAATGGCAAGTATTGTACGGCCAGCTTGAAAAGTTGAGTTCAGCATCCTGCAAAACACCTCAAATGAAATATAAAATCTCAGCAAATACTGCTGGGAAGTCTTTTCTCAATTACACTCAGTTTCCATGCATAGCCTCGTTTGGAAAGGGCAGGTACTTCAAGGTTGTAACTGCATGAACCGCAGTCATCAGAACTGTAAAGAATATAACGTATCTGTATTTTGGTGAGAGATAACCAGAAGATGGAGGAACACTGAATTCTCCTTCTCAGCTTCAATGAGACCTTAAAAAAAAGGTATTATACAGTTGACTAAATGTGAATTCAGAAAAAGAGAGAAAAAGTAAAACTTCTCTGTATAAGTGTTTGAATATACCAGAAAGTCTTTTTGTGATCTCTGGAGCAATATTTATGGTTCAATAGAAATTCAGAGGCTTTCATTGTAGAAACATGTCTCAAAACTTGTAAAAGTAAATGCCACAGCCTGCCCTCATGTGCACACGAGAGACTCTTATCAACTGCCATACGTAACCCATGCTACTGATGCTGACTGCATCACATGCAACAGGTACATACCGGCAGGCCACTCCAATTATGAAGAGGAAAATGGTCACCATGTCACATTTATTCCAGTTATCTTCTACATACAGTTTAAATTTTTTCATTAAATTTGTATCTTTATTTGTAAAGAAACTCTGTAAAAGAGAAATGAACATCGTTATTGTTCTATTTCACTATTTCATTGTTTTAACATAATCCCCATTTCTCTTTACCTATTTCATTGCAAAAAGCAAAACCAAATTCCTAGGGTAATAGAAGAAAAAACTTGAAAGCATGAGCTCAGCTTTTCGTCTTAAAATCCAGAAGCTGGATAAAAAGAAAAAATCCAAACTTGTTTGTAATCTTTTGATATTAACCTTATGAATTTTTAGGTCTGATTTAAGATTCTGTCAGAGCTCTGGCTGCTTAAAAAAAAAAAAGGCAAAAATTCCAGAAGGAGTTCAGTTTCTGGACACCGCTATTTAAACAGCACATACAATTTCAGCATTCATATACTTGAATTGTCAGTGAGTGCACATTTGAGGATCTAGGCAAAGGATCGTCTTAATTGGGTTTCAGCCTGGCACTCTTCATGCTTTACAGGTTTATAATGAAGTGTTCTTTGATCCAGATTTTTTCCCCTGTGCTCCTGTTTACAGCCTTGCTGCAAAATTTCAAATAATTTGTAACAAACTGAGATCCCCTTCACTGTCCCAGTTGTTTAAATAAAGAACACATATTTAGTCTTCCAGAATAAATTTTTATAACCGCTTTAGCGTAAAGAGCGCAAATAGTTCTATGCAGCTACAGTTGGCAACGTACCACAGCACGTGGTTTCAGTAGCTGAATTGAGGACATTCCAAACCCAATAACTAGAAAAGCAATGGAGAAATTCAAAACCCACCTCTTCCCCCCCCCCCCCCTCCCCCCCCCCCCCCAAAGTAAAAAAGATCCATTAATGTTTTGAGTTGGGAAGCATTTTTGGAAAAATATAAATAGTCTCAATTCATCAACTCTTTTTTTTTTTTTTTTAACAGACCCAAGCAGGGGATGTTCCTTCTAAAAGGATGTGAGGTTAACTGCTGCACTTTCAAGTGCAGAAGATAAGTTCCAGGTTATCTTAATAGTAGTGGGAGAACCTGGTTCTGGGGAGTGAAATCAAACTACTTGGCAAAGTAAAGGATAGCTGAGTCTTAGCAGCCTGTTTGACTGTTGACTACAGCTGGAGCAGGATGGAAAAACAGAGGTGGAGCTACAGATATATGGTGGAAGAAGAGCTTGCTGGGAGAGATGAGTGGAGTGTTCTGGATAATGTAAGTTCTGTGTTGTTTTTCTATGCAAAACTACTCCTGGCATTCAATATCTCCATGCCTACAATATTATATAGATTATAAACCCACTCAAAATATTACCTCAAGTTTTATTGTGTTACTGCTGAGATTTATAGTAGGGTACTGACCTGTCGGATTTCTTCTAAGACGAGAGTAAAAACCCAGAAGTAAAGTATAATTTCTTTAATGGATGGACCCTCTGGTGGAGGTGGCTTAAAGTCCAGTAAAAGGACATAAGTAAATAGAAACAGAAAGGTGAAGTACATTATAACATTCCCCATAAATACAGTTACAGGGGCACTCCAGAATTTTTTCCAGCGAGTAAACATGAATGTCACCCACGCTATGTTTTCAGAAAGGTTCTGCTTTTCTAATTTACCATTTCCTCTGTAAAACAAAAAGAATATAGTTTTGGTGACAATTTTCTAAAATTAGTTCATGGGAACAGACCCAGTGTTATTCAATATAATGCTGCTTATAAGACAGTAACAGGCAGATGCGGGGGGGGGGGGGGGGGAGAGCCAACTATGTGA